AGTAATATATTTACTGAGAAAAATGGTGACGTGTTCAATACTTATTTTACCCGCTGTACAACCAGTAACAACCACAGTGCAGCACCAGGAGACTGACTTTAGTTCTTTAAACTATTTACTAAGTAAATCTAAAGTTTTATCTGACAAACTCTGGTTGAGTTGACACAATGATCCTCCAACTTCTACAGGCAACACTGAACATGTTCAACTGTTCAGTAAAACACACTCACTGTAAACAAATTACTACTTAGCACACAAAATGTTAGTGACGTGGCAGCATATTAATAAGCCTCATAATTTAATTTAACGGCATGAACAAAGAAAATGACACAGCACACTGTGTGTGGGGGGCTTCACTGCTGCAGCCGTGTGAGGGGCAAACTGAGCACATCACAGGGGAAGTAGGTCAAAGGTAACAGGTTATGTTGTTTTTCTTTTTACAAAAATAACTTAATAACATTATTAATACATACATTAACTAGGTGTTAAAGGAGGGCATATGCAAAGAAAAAAATACACTTGACCAAAAGGGCTCTTCAGGACAAAGGGCAAAAGGGGCAGGTGCTCCAGCCCCCCCTCAGCAGTCACACATGAACAGGAGAGTTGAGAAGCTGTAATTAAAATATAGACACATTAAAATATACACACAAATAAATGACGAATTATGAGTCTGTAACTGTAATTATAGCTGTTTAAATGTTAGTTTACACATTTGTGACACTTTTTTCTGTGACTTTACATTCAGAAAAATGTGTAAAGGTTTTTGGCAGGTGAAAATTTTAAATACAAATCTTTTCTGCAGGTACACAAATGTAAAATTTGCACGTCTACCTTTACACCAGCACCTGTAGAACATGAAACCCACAGAAATCAGACAGAACTGGTTTGTTGAAACTTGTCCTGTTTCATATTTTGCCAAGTCACTTCTGTAATAAACTGAATTGAATTGAAATTTCAGTCTTTATCTTGTGAATGTTGAGTCTACATCTGGATTTTATGAATGTTTCTATGAAAACATCAGTTCTTCCTTGTCACAAATTTTTATTACAAACATTTTATTCTAAAAACAGTAACCCTCTAAATTAAAAAAAGTCGTTCTTAATGAACTGTGCACATGAGCCTCTATGAACAATAGAGCCAATCAAGGCACTGACGACCTATTGTTTGGCTGATGGTCCTCTTTTGCATGTGACCAACCTGTTCGTCCATGTGGAGGCGGAGCTTATACAAGTTCAGACTGAAGAAGTCTCTTGGAGGAGAGACGAAACGTTTCATTAAAGAAGAACCCGTCCAGAGGACCTACTTATTTTTCTTGTAGGTTTTTCTCCCTGATTTACTGAGATGCATCAGGACAACGCTCTGATCTTCCATCAAAGGCCTAGGATTGGTTGAACATCAGCAGCCAGGTTGCAGGACAGGTTAAAAAAAGATCTCCCACACAGGGATGATTTAACGCCTACCAAGACTCGTTTTACTTCAACATCTGTAAAGTTGGCTGAACTATAGCTAATCAGTGTGCATTGCCAATGCAATGCACACTATTGTGATTMRTTTCCCATCCAAGTCATCTCAACTTTGCCATGCTTCTCCTCCTGCCTACATTGTCCTACAGCTGCCATTGTAATTTCTATCTGTAAAGGTCCTGTGCTAAATGATTGCTATGCCTTTTGGTTCCTGTACAACTTGAAGTTTTTGAAATATTTAATGTTTAAACTTTATTCCAAATTCATAAAATGAGAGTCAATGGGGCCTTGTAATGGTCCAATACTGCCCCCAGCTGTACTCAACTTGGTACTGCACCATAGTTTTTTATATTTAATCTCAGTAGTTCAGTGTTCACAGTACTAATATGATTGTATTTTGATGTTTTACTATAATATTGTCTTAATACTGCTCTATTGTTGTAATATTATGCATTTTTGTGTCAATAATTGTATTGGCAATGTGGCCTCTTTCTGCACACATACAAACCAACCCCTGCCACCACACTTTGCCACAGCTCCATTGGTCTAATGCAGTGGTTCCCAAAGTGTGGGGCGCGCCCCCTAGGGGGGGCGCAGTGCCATTGCAGGTGGGGCGCGGCTTGACTGAATGGAGGGGAGGTGGACGGGGGAATGCTCGGACGTTGTTGGTCTGGACAGGTTTTTGATCGAGATTTATTCTTAATCAACAAACTTTAATTTTTTTTCCTCTCAGGGTGTTGTTCATAATTAAAAACCCACTTTACACAGAAATACTTTTTTAAGTTTTATTGAAGCAATGTTGAATATTTTCATAAAGTAAAAAAATACACTTAAATAATTACTGTTAAGATGTTTTAAGAGGTTGTAATTTATTGCAATCTATTTTTTTTCAGTTTTCTTTCATCAGTTCAAATGTTAAAGAACATTTTGTGGTGAGAAATAAACTGAAATGAGTTTAAAAACAAAATATCTGTGCGTGTGTGTGTGTGTGTGTGTGTGTGTGTGTGTGTGTGTGTGTGTGTGGACGGGTTATTCCTACAACATGAGGTATTTTTTACAAAAAAAGCAGCCAGGTGGGGACCGAAGTGAATCGTGGGGACCATTGTCAGGTCCCCACGGGTCCAAATGCATGTTCCAGGTGTGGGGTTAGGTTTAGGACCAAGGTTTAGGTTAATTTTAGGGTCAGGTAAGTTTCTGTGAGGTTAATTTTAGAGTATATGGTCAGGGTTAGGATATAACGTCTAAAAAACATGAATGGAAGTCAATGGAAGGTCCCCACGGGGTCGAGAAACAAACGTGTGTGTGTGTGTGTGTGTGTGTGGTGGAGCATGAAATTATTTTTATAAACCAAAGGGGGGGGGCCATCAGAAAAGGTTTGGGAACCATTGGTCTAATGGTCTATGTCATGGACTTTCATGTGGGAGATCAGGGTTCAAAACCCAGCTAATGCAACTTTAACAAAAAATATCTTCCAACTTCACATTGTCACACAATTACCTTAATTACGAACACCTGCTGACGTGACAGGCACAAGCTGGTATAGAAAACATATTTGAACTTGGTCAAAGTTCACTCTGCAAGTCCAATGCTGCAGGCAATGACATGCTACATGGCAATGCACACTTGTTTTTACATCGTAAAAACCCATGTCTAGTTTTACAGTGGGTCATGTTGACTAGCTGTGGCAACCACCTTGAATCAGGTTCGTTTAAAAAAATAAATGAATTGATCCATTAATTTGAGTTTCATTAAAGTCTGTCCACTGGTTCATGAGATTTGTAACCAAGTCATTTTCTTTCGATGGCAGCGAGCAATATTAAAAAAATAAGAAGCAAACTATTTCTGCTTATTTTTATTCTCATCAAGAAGCACTGTGATGTATGCACTGAATATGCTCATTGTAAAAAGAATGGATGAACAGAATTTCTTTCAGACAATTGAAATGAAAGAGTTTTAATTTACCAGGCAAACCTTTAAATCAAAGGTAACAACAAAGCGCTAAAAACAAGAGCTGTGGCTTCAGCCGGCCAGCATTCACACACATTGTTGCCGTCACTTCAGTCTACTCTGCACCTTCATCCTATTAAAACTCTTTACAATATGTACAGGTTCCACTCAGTCAGTGTGTTACAGCATCAGCAGGTAGAATCCCAGGAAACTGAAGAGTCGAGTAGAAAAGCAGAAATAACTGATTGTTTCCCTTGAACTGAATTAGTTTAGTAAATGATCTGTATACTGTGTAACATGTTGATGTAAAAAGTCAACAGTTTAAGCAAAATATGCAGGTTAACAGTGAAACTAAGAAACATCTAAACAAGGCCTCTCCCACACTGACAGGGTTGAGACGAACCTGTTGAACTTACAAATACCTGCTACTGCAGTCGTTCATTCTGGGCAAAACATCGATGAAAACTGAAGACAAAAAGATACTACTGCTGTGTCACACAAACAATTCAGCAGCATGTTCCGTTGGCCTGAGTCCAATGCCACACTGTCAGAAACCACAGCCACGGGGCAGCGAGGCAACACAGAACCAAAGCAGCTGTGAGTCCTCTCAAAGGTCCTGATGGTTCAGAGCAATACCTCCCAGTCACTACCCAGGGATCAGTCGTCCTGAGGAGGGGGGGATGAAGACGATGCTGTCTCTAGTTTGCGAAGTCGGCGCCGCCTTAGTTCAGCCTTGCTCGGCTCTCCGCCCTCATCCTCCAGCACCTCTTCATCCAGGTCCTCTTTTCTTTCGCTGTCCGGTGCACAGGAGGTGGAGTCAGCAGGCTGAGAGGAAACTGTGGCTCCTCCCACCTCGTCAGCTGCAAACACAAGATTCATCTAGTTATAATTTACATTTTCCTTTTTAAAATTCAACACTTTACTAAAATTAACTAATCAAAAAGAGTTCTCTGGGACAGCTGTGGCAGTGGTTAGGGGAGTTGTCCGGTTTCTGGATCCCCCGTTCCAGCTGTTGCAGTCGTCGTGTCCATGGACAAGATACTTCACCCACTGGTCCAGTGGCACCGGTACATGGCAGCCCCGCCTCTGTCAGTGTGCCCCAGGAAACTGTGGCTACATGTAGCTTACCACCATCAGTGTGTGAATGTGTGAGTGATTGTAAGTGTAAAGTGTTTTGGGGTCCAGAGGGACTTGCATTCACAATTCAACAGAAAACATAGGTGTGTGACTTTTACATTTGTTCTGTTCCTCCTGATTAATGTACACTCAGGCCTCTGGCTCATCAGTCAGGTGAGCACTTGATGTAAATGACCCTTACAAGACGTCAGTTCACTCTGCTGATGAGCTATGAGAACTGTACTCTGTGTCTGAACTCCTTGCTGCAGTTAAAAGAGCTCAGAACTGAAATCTGCCACCCGCTTCGGATGTTATCATCCATTAAATAGACGTTATTAGCCGTTATCATTCCCATAGAATGGCTTAAGACCGTCAGCTAGCTAGTATCAGGCATAAAACCACTAAGGTTTTTTATGCAATCTGGTTAATATGAGGCATAAARCCACTAAGGTTTTTTATGCAATCTGGTTAATATGAGGCATAAAATGAGGCATAAAACCACTAAGGTTAATTTTAGAGAAAATGACATGGGCTACGATAAAGTAGACCAGACTCCGGCGGTAGCAGAGTTGTTACATTCCAACGTATATGGCACTGGTAACCCACTAGGGGGCACTATCGGGACAGTCTGAAGCAATTCTATGGGACTGATAACTGCTAATAACGTCCATTTAATGGACTGATAACATCCGAACCGGCTGAATCTGCTGGAAACAGTTTGTACAAATGAACGACGTAGGACCTGGAATAGGTCATATCACATGTGGAGTTCCTCAAGGTTCTGTACTTGGACCAAAGTTATTTGTTTTATGTGAATGATTTGATAAATGTGTCAGAGTTGTTTAAATGTGTTTTATTTGCAGATGATACGTTTTTTGTTTTGGTAAAAATATAGAATGGATGTTGGAAATGATACAAGATAAAATACAGACTTGGTTTAAACCTAATAAATTATCATTAAATTTAGATAAAACTAATTGTATGATATTTAGTAATAGAAAGAACTATTGATTTTTCATTTAGAGTTGATGGTGTTGAGATCTGTAGAGTCAGGGAGGTGAAGTTTTTGGGTGAGCTGACATGGAGAGCATATATAAATCTTTTAAGAAAAAAAAAATCTAGATCCCTTGCAATACTGTATAAAGTAAGAAAATTATTCAATGATAAAATTATGTATACGTATGTTGTATAACGCAATAATTGTTCCACACTTGATCTATTGTATTGATGTTTGGGGAAAGCATGTAAAACAATTACTAATTTACAAAAAAGAGCTGTAAGAATTCTTACAGGAAAACATTACAGTCATCCACGAAACACATTGTTCCATCAGTTGAAGTTATTGAAGTTCTATGATTTGGTTGATTATAGTATTTTATCAGTCATGTATAGGGCTCATAAAAACACATTACCTTCAAACATCAGAACTGTAACAATCTCAAAGGGATAGGAATGTTTGTGAAACCTACATTTAAAACCAGTACTTCAATCCAGGGTATAAGATTATGGAATAATCTGGAAGATGGAATTAAAAACGTCAAGAGAATGATAAAGCTTAGTCTGTTGGAGAAATATGTAATGGTATAATGTGTATTTATACGAGTTGTTGTTGTTGACCATTTTTATTTAAATTTAGTTTTTCGAGAAAAGGGACAGATATAAGGTTTTTTTCTTCTTCTGCTACCTTTCATTTATGATTTGTATTTTTATTATGTACAGAATTTGTTGTTTTTAAAGAAATGAATAAACTAAACTACTACTATAAATAATTTGCACAAAAACTTGTGAGCCATTTAAGATTAAAATGTCTGAAAACGTACAGTGATGCTGTTGGATTTGTGTGCTCAGGTTCAATTATTGAATGTGTGAAGAGTTTAGTGAAATTTTTAAAGAAACTAAATTCACTAACTTTACAGCACAACAACCAACAATGATCTACTACTACTACATGGAATGTGTGGCAGTTTTCCCACAAATGCTGCTCTGGTTTGTTTTAATTAAAAAAGTTTTCTTGCCTAGCTGAAATACTTTATCAGAATCTTACAAATTCATATCACTACAAAATGCAAACCTGTCTAAATTGATAAGTTTCGTCTATATGAGCCTGTTTACCTGATAAACGGTTAATTGTTGTATTTGCCTTCATGACATTACTAATAGTGTAGAAAGATAATTCTGTGTTCTGAAATAAGTCTCATTTGTTTGAATCTTAAAGGGATCCATGATTAGTTGTAACATTAGACTTGATCTGATAAACATTTATTTTAACTGTAAAATAAAAACTGTAAAAATACTGTTGGCTGTTTAGTTTTTATAATTTTTAAAAATATATTTTAACATGGACAGAACCATTTTGTTTACACACAAAGCATTCTGGGTAAATGATGACATGGATAGGTCCTTAGTGTGAGCGAGCTATATCCACCCTGAAGGTTAATCTTGGACAATATCTGATGA